CTGGGGGTCGGGAGGGGCAGGACCGGCCCGGAACTGCGGCCGCTTTTCCTGAAACCCGACGGAGGAGGTAGCTTCGGATCCTTCTCGCCAAAGGCCCCCTTTCACTCTTTCCTCCTTTGGGCTGTTTGGAAAGCCACCCTCCTCCTCTCAGGCCGCAGCTACTACATTCGTACCCATTTTCCAGGGCTGTATTGGTGGCGGGTCTACTGTGGCTGCCAGCTGGACGTTGGACCGGTTGCAGATAAACAGTTGGAAGGTGGCCACTGCAACCAGAGCAGAGCAGGACACGTATGATCCTTAAGGCAGGCTTTCTGAACTGGAAAAGAGGCTTGAGGACCCTCAGGAGTTGAGACCCTTAGGCACTGAGGCCTGATCTAGGTCCATGGTGGTTTATGACCCAAGATAGAATCCACTTGCTGAGTGATGTTAGTTAGAGAGGTCACTGCTGTGTCTTGGACCTCAGTTTCCTCACTGGTCAGTTGGTGACCAGTGTTGTGGGTTAGAGAAGGTGGCGGGTCTATTTCAACTTGTGTTATCAGGGGGCAGGGTCAACAGTCATCTTTAGTTTAGTCAAGGATGGAGTTGGACCCAAGGAACACTAAGGAGGTCATGGGCAAGGGGCTTTGGGGTGGAGGAAGGGGAGTGGAAGGGTCCAAGGATGAGAGGCAGGGTGCAGGTGGAGGCCGCAGCACCCTCCCCAGGGGTGGATGGGAGTTGGGTGTGCCCACCTTAGCCAGGCACAGACCCGAAGGAGATGGGGTGATTCCTGGGGTGGGAGGAGGAAGCACCTTGGCCGTCAGAGCAGAACAGTTTTGGCCTCTGGTTGGTGACGTCTGTCTCAGGGAGATGGGTAGCTTTTCCACTGCAGGGAGTGGTTGACAGTGCCCTTACGTTCTCTCCATCACCCTGTGGCTGGGTGTCCACTTAGCTATTTCCCTAACCCTTAGGATATTCTCACTCCGAGAAAGCAACACAGCCCCTCCTTTTGGGAACCATAAGTTTGATGGGAGAGATACAGCCTTGGCCTCAGTCTGATGAGAGAGACAGGGTCCCAGCACTCATTTCCTGAGAGATCCCTCATTCTGCTGGAGGAAGCACAGCCTCTGCCTTCAGTCAGTCCCAGTCAGATGGGGGAGATAGGTCCCCTTTGTGGGGAGCCTCCAGTCTAACACTGGCTCCCATGCAACCATGCCTTCCTTCCACCTCCGGTGATCTCTGGCGGAGGGGGCTGTTAAGTTGCGCTGATGCCAGGTGTGTGTGTGTGTGTGTGTGTGTGTGTGTGTGTGTGTGTGTGAAGCTTCCTGTATTGGGATGGGGGGCTGGGAGGAGGATTGGGGTACAAAACGTGATGGTTCTGGTGGCAATTGCCCTGGGCTAGGAGGCAGGCAAGTGGCATCAGGCACAGGCAGGGAGGGAGTTTCAGCCGCTGGCAACAGGCAGGCACGCAGTACAGTTCCGTGGGCAAGTCCAGACCAGCTGGTGGGGGGACTCAGTCAGGGGCATGGTTAAAGCAAAGAAAGGTGGTGGCTGGGGGAGGGGTGGGCTCTGCCTTTTGGGGGCATTCACAGATTCCTCCCAGATAGCACCCCACTTTTCCAGCTACCCTGAGGAGGAGAGTTCCCCTGAGGGCCGTGTTTACCCTTGTCCCTCTGCCCCTCTTTACCCCTGCCTCCGAAGGGTTAAATGTCAGCTCTGGGGTAGAGGGAGCATTTCAGGAAATGGAATGTGATTCACAGTTTGGTTGCCCCCTTCCCCTCCAGTGCATTGTACTTTCTTGCATATACATTTCAGGTGTCAACACGGTGACTCACCCACCCTTGGGGCAGAAGCCCACCCCCCCCATTGCCCCAGTGAAAGTTGGATTTAGAGGAAAGGCTTGGTCCCTCTTTCACCCCCAAGTCTGGCAGCCCCATTCCGGAAACTGCTGTCAGGACCTGCCAAGGGCTTAGCGGGTTGGAATGCTAGTGGACATGGCCACATCTGGATCTCATCCCCCCACCCCCATCAGAGGGTAGTGGAGAAATGTGGGGAAAGTGCCCTGGACAGCTCCATCTTCAGCCTGGTCTGTCCCTGACCACCGGCTCTCAGCCTTTCTCGCTGCTCTAGCATCTCTGTGATGGTCTGATTCACCACCATGCCTTCAGCCTATGGGTTGGGGTCAGCCTCAGGGCTCAGGTTGCCCCTCTAGCTGGCCCAGCTCCCTAGCAGGGCAAGAGGAGACTGCCCCTCCTCCACCCCCTAGTCAATGCCTTATCTGGGGCTGCCAAAGACAGAGCTATGTCTCCTCCCCTTCCAGCCCCACTCCCTCCCAGGACTGAGATGGGGGAGACAGCAGATGGCAGCCCCCTCCTCAGTGCCAGCCAAATGGATTCCAGATTCACATCTGGGGGCCTACCCCTCAGAAGGTGCTGAAAACAGGGCTCTTTGAAGCATCTTAGTCTTGAGCTGAGGAGGCCCAGAGACCAGTGGGCAGCTTTGACGCCAACTTGGGTGGGCAAACTGGGAGCTGAGTGGGGCTGAGCTGAGGAGCAAAGGGCCTTCCCCATCACCCCATTGGCATGTCCCATCTGCTTTACCTCCCTGCCCTAGGAGTGGGAAGTGAGGACGGGTGGGGTAAGCAGCTTTGCCCAGGCAGGCACCCTTAGGCGGTCCAGAGCCCACAACCCCAGGAACTGCCCCCAGCTGGGTGACAGAATGGAAAATCCCACCCACTGGTGCCAGGAGGTAGCTGGGTCCCCTGTCAGAGAGGCTGGCAATACCCAGCTGGCATGAGAGGGTCTAGGTGGGTGGCAAGGCGCAGTCTCCTTCCCTGAGGTACTGGGCAGTACCTGCTTCTCAGGCCCTCTCTCTGCCAACAGCCTGCTTCCTGCCCAGGGAGGGTGTGGGCTCCTTGACACTCTCTTCTCTGGGTGTCAAGATCAGATGGTGTGAGGGCCACACAGGGCAGGAAACGGGCTAGCCACTGTCCAAGGACTGGCTGGAGGGAAGCAAGCCTGCCTGGCACCCCCACCCTGCCCAAGCCTAGAGCCAGGACAACAGACTGGAAGGGAGGCTGCGTGCCAGCTCTGGGGAGGTGGAGTGGGGCACGGTACCTAAGTACCCTCATCCTTCCTTGGGACCGGTGACTGGAGCCATTGGGCGAACCTAGGGCCAAAGGGGTTACATTTCCCAGAGTGCTTCCAGATGGAGCCTTCCCGGGCTTACTCTCTCTCTCCTTTCTGTGTGTACCTGCATGCCAGGTCTGGGCCCCCCAGGGGAGGCAGAATAGATTTATAGGGCCACAGCTACCCCCCGAAATGGAAGGGAGCTTAGAGACCATCTCTCTTCATATCCCCATTCTCTGGACAGGGAAATGCAGGGACCTAGGTCTCGTGACTCCCAGGCTCTCGCTCGTCACCCATGTGTGTAACTGCTGGGCACACGAGAACCTGGAGCGGGTTGGGGACTCAGGAAGAAGCGCTGGGTGGGTCAGATCATAAAGGGAAGGGCTGAGGGGAGTGGGCGCTCAACCCTGTCACCCTTTCTCCCAGAGATCCCTGGCCGCTGGATTACACGGTCCACACCCCCAGAGGGCTCAGACAGTACCGCCCCCAGCACCCAGGAGCCCGAGGTACCTCCAGAGCAAGACCTTGTGGCCAGCACAGTAGCAGATGTGGTGACTACAGTGATGGGCAGCTCCCAGCCCGTGGTGACCCGAGGCTCCACTGACAACCTCATCCCCGTCTACTGCTCCATCCTGGCTGCTGTAGTTGTGGGCCTCGTGGCCTACATTGCCTTCAAGAGGTGAGAGGGAGGGGTGGGGGACAGGGAAAGGGACCTTTGTTCTCAAGGTGGGCTTTACTGTGACCTTGACCTGAAAATGCACACACTCTTTTGACTCAACCCCAAGCCAAGCTTATCCTCACTCACCATCAGCTGCTCCACTCCAGGGCATGGCAGCTCAGCAGGAAGGGAAGGTGATTGTCCCTGTCCTGTCCTCATGTCAGCACCACCCCACTCCCATGTGCTCCCCTCTCTGATTCCCCAGCCCCTGCTGCACACAGAAAGGGTGCTTTACCAAGTGCCTCTGACCTCGTTCCCCGAACCCCATTTAGCAACACAGTTACCTACATGTGTATGTGTCTCTTCCTTCCCATGTGACACTTGGGAAACTGTGGCATCCACATCCAGAAATCCAGGATGTGCCAGAACTCTCCGAAAGTATTTTAAATGTCTAAGTGCATTTTTGATTCTTAAAAAATCCCATCAAAGTAATATATGCTTGCTTGGGGAAATGCAAACAAGCACAGTGTCTTGTAAAGCAAGAAGCAAAAGCTCCCTTTTATCTTCCCAAATCCTACCCCTCATCATTGGTATCTGTTTCGATCCTTTCCAACCATTTTCTGTGCATTTATAAACACATATACATGAAACTTTTAAATTATATGTAAACACACAGGTATATGTATATATTTTTAGCATCAGTGGAGTCACACTATACATATTCTACAGCTTACTTTTTCACTAATCTCCCCCAAGAGAGCTTTCCTTGGGACATATAGATTATCTGATCATTTGTAACCACTCATTCAATAATATGGATGGATCATAATTTAACCAGTTTCTTACTGATGGACATTTGATTTGTTTTTAGTTTTTCTTAGTTCTTATAATAGCAGAGGAAGTCCTTGGACTATATGTGTCCTGCACACATGTGCGAGTATTTTACAAGGGTAGACTGGGAAAAGTGGAATTCTGGGAAGTTATTTATTTATGCGTCATTCATTCCATGGACATTTATTGAACACTTGCAGTGTGCACCAAGCCCTGAGTGCCCCTCTGACCTTAGTCACTGTGGCAGGGGATCACAGCTGGGTACCTACCATGCCCCTGGCCCACACATCAGAGCACAGATGCCCTAGCCACAGGGCCACTGCGGCCCCTCTTCCCTGAGGCTGGGCCTGTCCTCTGGCTCCAGGTGGAACAGCTGCAAGCAGAACAAGCAAGGAGCCAACAGCCGGCCTGTGAACCAGACACCCCCACCCGAGGGAGAAAAACTCCACAGCGACAGCGGCATCTCTGTGGACAGCCAGAGCCTGCATGACCAGCAGCCCCACACACAGACAGCCTCAGGCCAGGGTGAGCAGCAGGCCGGGCAGGGGACTGAGGCAGGGCAATCAGGACTGATTAAGGTCAGGCTGTAGAAAGCACTGCCAGAGGGGCTGGCTGCCTGGTGCCTCTGGGTGGAAGGATGGGACAGTGGGATCAGGGAAGGGGTGGGGGAGGTCCTTTCCTGTGGAGTGACTTGGGAAATGGAGGCTTTGACAAATTGGAGCATCCAGACTCATCAAGCTAATTGTCCCCCCTAGGGCTAATTACTCCCCCAAGTGGCTGCAATTAGCCTCCTGCCCTGGACTTCTGGGGAACAAGCAGTTAATTATGTCCCCTAATTAGTGGCCCAAAGCCTAGCTCCAGGACACTTGCCACAGTTGAGTCTGGGACTGAGAAGTCCTGTCTCCTCCTCTGCCTTGATTAATTGCTG